GCTTTCAGTCTACATTGTTTTACCTCTTAATATTTTTCCAGTGGTTTCCATATTGGCCTTAAAAACTGGGGCTCTAGAGCCAGTCCTGTTCAAACACATTAATGACAAAAACAACATTTAGGTGTGAGAACGTTTAGGTAGGAGAACCATGAAAATCCAAACACATGCACATATAAACCTGCTGCAACACGAACAAAAATAACTCCCGATTCTCTAGGACACATTTCACTGTTGAAATACTGTAAAACAAATCAAAATGCACAAACACAGTCAACAAAATCCAAGACTTAAGAGAAAATTTCAACATCCAAACAAAACTGCAGCCATTTATGCCAGACTGTTTATAATCTGTTTTACATAGTCAAATGCACATAATAAACAGAGTCTCTGCTTCCTGTACCAAAAGTAAATACACAACAGAAGAGACCTGGTGGTAACTGAGTCACTGTCTCCCACTGTTTTATTTACTGCAGTCATCCTAACAACTCTGCAGGAAAAGCCACTCCCTCTATAGCTATAGCTGTTTCCCATTTCAGTAGCTCATCGAAAAACTTTAATACAGTCATAGAGAACTTCAGTTGTATTGAAGCCTTTTCATTCGGCAATCACAGAAGAAAACTTTCAGAGACGACCTACTGTAATCTACCACACTAAAGACTGCAGACGTGTTCCTGCAACATCCATTCAGCTTTATGTCATACAATCAAGCCCGACCTAATTCACACCTTTGTAAAAATATGTACACAAGTGTTCAAACACTGACACAGATAAAGATTGGTGTGTTTAATCTGACAGAAATCCCGTCCAGACAGGAGCTCAGTGACTGGGGTGAGAAGTGATCCCATAATAGACAACCCAAGGTCCGCAGAATCAAACATTCAAGTTCAAATGAAGAAAGAAGATTCCATGAGAGAAAATGTGATTTACACTGAAACTGCAATTCCCCCGAGGCTGTCAACAGAGTTCCTCAGATTTAAAGTCTGGAAATAAAACTGTCCAGTCCACTTCTGTTGTTACATATACTTAGTTTAATTCACACACCGCCTGGTGACTTTGTTTGTGTTAGAAAAATCTTTGTTCTACCATACATTCCCAACAAAGTTTGTTTGGATGTTGCTACCTATAATATCACAACTTATATCGGTTAACTTTTTGAAAGAAAGTTGTAATTTCTACTGATTTTGATCGCTGTCTCATTAAAAACACCCACTACAACAAGATCTAGTCTTAAGCACCGTTCATAACAACTGTTCCAAAAGTGCACTGAAAGCAGCCAAGGCTTCTTTAGTGAGGACCAGATGGTTTCTGTCCTCACGCTGTTATGTGCCCATGGTCTCTTAATTTTATACAGATACATGCACCAATCTAACCAAAGCAAAGCCTAATCCAAGGCTTAACAGAGTGAGACAGAGTGGCATTCACAAGTAGGGATAAATAGAACTATTACAGAGCCGGCTCCAGAGTCTCAACACATGCTTCGGGCAACATGCAGGCTGTTTATGACCTCCCAGTGTCAACACCCCCGCCTTGGTGTCAGTGGCTGACATAGATTTCCTTGGATGATGCCTACTGTCTCACATCAGAAATGAGAAGCAGGTGGTCAGCTGGCCCGCACAACACACAGTGGGTTCTACCACCACGACTTGGCCAGAGCACCAAAGAAAGTAACAGTTCAAGAAAGTCAGTCAGTGATGAGTGCTGAAAAGAGGCGAGGGGGAGCAGTGCCTGGATTGTAACTTGAACTAAAACCAGAGTCAGAATGTTCGGCTTTTTCTCAGTGTATATTTTGCCTCTTTTGAAGTCTAAATCTGCTGTGGTGAAAAGGCAAGGCTGACATATCCTTTGTCCTCACAACGCACTTTGTTATATATCTTAAGAAATAGTGACAGGATGAATAGTGACAGGAAGTCGTTTGCTACGAGAAAGTCAGGCTTGTAATTAAAAAAATGAACTCATTGTCATTTAATGAATTGCAATTTTCACTCTAAAAAAACAAGTTCTTTAATTCTCCAATCACCTTTTTTAGCAACTGTAAACAAAATACTGAAATATGATTACCTTTTTAGCTTTAAATGACAGAAAAGTCTTCTATTTATTTTCCTGGGAGTGTAAAATTCACTCACATTCACGCTTTCTTTCCTTTCCTGTAGTACCAACTCCCCTTAAGTTAGTCTTTAAGGCCCAGATTTACTAAATGGGGCAAAAGAGCAGTGAGTGCAATCCCCAAATAGCGCTCATACATGTGGTTAGATTTACAGCTGAAAACGTTTTCTGAACTTAAGTGGAATCAGTTAATTTCAATATAAAGCTCAAAAATTAAGACAAGTAAATTGTGTGTCACAGACATTAGCGAATCAGTTTATGTGCTTGATTTAAATAATGTGTAATGTAATGTATTTTTTTAATGTATTTTGCACCTCAAGAGAAGAACCCCTATTAATATATAAGCAACAGGATCCATCACAAAAGTTTCAGAGTGCCCAGCTCCAACACACAATCTGAAATATTCACTGTGGTTCTTTGTAAATACTGATAATCCTTTCTCTTTTTCTGTTACATCAAAACCCAGTTCGTGCTTGTTTTTGAGGCTTGAAACAATCTGATGAGAGTTGTAGTGTAAAAACACCAAGGGGGTAAAGTTGCCAAAATGTGGGTTAAAGTTGCTGCTATGCTGCAATCAATAACAACGTTGTAATTTGTCCAATGACAGGTGAAGCCCTAATTTAATCAACAAGCACTATTGACTTAAAAAAAATAACACAACACTAATTCTGAGTGAAAAGAAAGCAGAGAAGTTGAACTAATTCTTGTGAGTACTTTTTTTTTTTTTTAAACTGAGATTTATCTATCTGACAAAGCAGCTGTTCTCATGCAGTACGTCGGCCTCCAGTGCAGGTGCAGAACATAATATAGATACTGAAAGACTGGTCAGTGTACAAACTGACAAACACCAGAAACATTACATGCAGCGGGATTAAATGCACATGGCAAAGGATTCAGACACGAGGGATGGACTATAAGTCTACCAAAGTCTTGTGAAACATCTTCACGGCCAAAGCGCACGACAGCTACCTTTAACTTATGACTCTGAGGTAAAACGACAGAGGTCAGCATTCCTTCTTCTTAACTGTTCCTGTTTGTTCTAAATCATACTCGAATCTCACACGGGAAAGAAAAAAAGTGTCATTTTGAAATGTGAAATCTCACAATACGAATCTAATAAAGAAAGCAGGTTAATAACAATAGTAATTTGCTTAAACCCACACAAATCAGAATGACTAGTGCGTGTCTTTGATGCCGCATCAGGCAAAGGTTGCGAGGGAAGGAACCTGGCTGAACACAGAAGCTTGGCTGACTCTCTCGGCGCATAATGTTTCTGGCAGAAGACTGTGGATAAATCTGTCTCACGAGACGAGAGAAGGAAAAGTGTTTTCAAGAAAGAGAAGAGCAAGACGTGCGTTCACAAAGAGGACGTGAAAGAGAGAGGATGAAAGTCCTGATTATAACATCTCTGTTTCCAATCCATCACTTAGATGTGTGAAAACCAAAGAACCCGCGTGAAAACAAACGCGAGCGCTGCCTCTAACAAACAACAACAGGCTTGTGTGAAAACATCTTAGCAAGAGGAAGGACTGTGTTACACCTCTGGCAGGCCCCTTCTCCTGGGAAATCTAACAGCAAAGCTTATGTGTGTGTCTGCCTGCATGTTTGCGTTTCTGTGAGCATGTGGGGGGCTAGAAACCAAATATCTTCCGCTCACCATTCTCTCTTTGCAGGACTTCTCCAAAACAGCAACAAGCACACAAAAACTAGAGTTACTTAGACTGCAATGAGCGGAAAGAATAGACAATGATGGCAACAAGAGACAAGAAGAATAATAAGGGTTTAACTCTGCTTTACTTCAGATGTTCGCTATTTATTTGTGACAGATGCCAGGTTGCTCAGTTGCAGTTCATTAAGAACTGAAAGGCTGAGATTTTAGAGGTTTTGATTATGTCCAGTTTATTTATTTGTGTAGAAGTCCTTATCTCCAACAATTATTATTTCTAAGTTGTTTTGGCTTATTTAAATGCAATTTAAGTAATAGATACTGCTTAGATGCATTTTAAAGGAAGCCACATTTTAGCAAATACACTTATTCACCTTCTGGTAGGTTATTGCTAAGAACACACGTGCTGCCTTTGTATCTCCGCAGTAATTTAAAGGTTGCAGCAAATGTCTGGTTTGCTTAGTACAAAGACTGGAAGGGAGTGAAAGGTTGGTCCCTGTCAAATGTTCACTGTCCTTTCTCTGAGCAGTGATCTGGCAAACAGCTGTTCAGCTGAAAGAGACCTTGTACAGGAAACTGGTTGCACATGTAAGTATATGCTAACCATCAACTGGCTGCCTTATGTTATACCGTGCAAGAAGCACGCTGATAACTGAGTGACATGGGAGTTCACATTGGCTTCTAAACTGGAAATATCCCTATTTCCAAACTATCAAACCTTAAAGAATACTCAACAAACAAATCAATTAATTCAATGCATTAAGGAAGTGTTCAACCAGGGGGAAATATTGGTAGGTGAAACCAAATTTCTATTTCTGAAGATTTTTTGTTTTAGTTTTTCTGTCATATAAAATAAGGACTGAAGACAGTCTCATTAATGAGCAGTTTTTATAAAGAGGAAGCTCAGCTGGGTTAGCCACAGCACTCCAGGCTCTTGCCTTCAAAGAAAAAACATTTCTCCCAAAAAAAACCCCACTTCTTCCACCTTTAACTAGCCAAAGCCCCCACAGAGCAGCCCCGTCCAATCACAGCTACAAGACAGGCTCATTCTGCTTTAGCAGAGTGAACACATAAGGTCTGAACTGGACCCTGAATATACATAAGTGTGTTTGCCGGCTCCCAAACATATATTTGGCTATTTTGAATTACCTGCATACTTCAGTGACTTATTTTCAATTTAATAAATTAGCAAAATCTTTAGTTTTCATCTTCTGGGAAGCTGAATACTCACCATATTGACATCGCGTCCCTTTGAAGCCCAGTGGACAATGACATATTTGGTCTCCAGTCTCAGCACATCTCCCTCCATTGAAGCACATATTGGCACTGCAAACCCCTGAAGGTATCACATAGCACAACGCTGCTGATATATCCAAGTTATGTGTGCACTTCTGCATACAGTCTTGACCAGCAGTGGGCAATTAATTTTCCGATGGGGCCACATGAGAAACAGAGACTGTTGAGTTCAGCTTATTGGTGCAGCACTGCACAACAGTTCTAGTTTCTCATGTGGCTTCTTGGGAAAATGAATTGCCCATTGCTGGTTTAGACAACAGGCTGTTTTCGGGTTCAGTTATTGTTTCAAGTGCAACTTCACAGCAGTATTGAAAGTAGCTCCATCTGATACATGCTGATGAAATGCAATTACTCACTGTGCAGACAACCTCTCTCTTCACCCTTCTGAATCCAACCAGGGCAGCACCTGTAGACTGTGTGCAAATCCACTCTGTACACTTGCCTGTAAACTGTGTAGTACGTTGTCCTGAGGAGGGGAAATTTCACAATTTTAAGGTCATTACATTATAAGGTATTACCTGTGAAGGTAATGTTGAGTGTATAAAAGATTTTTAACACATCATTAAACAATTTTTGTAGATGCAAAAGCCAATTGGTTTAATAACAACAACAACAACAATTATATAGCACATTTAAAAAACCATGGTGTACCAAAGTGCTTAACATGTAAGAGGGTAAGATGAAGTAAGAGGGAAGGATGAGGGCTATGGCAAGGTACCAAAACATGCTAGCAGGTTAGATGGCATTAAAACACAAAAGCAAAATAAATGCATATAAAAGCATAAAAGAGCAATAAGTGTAAAGGATAAAACAGTCAAAAATAACTGTAGTAATACTAATTAGTCACTGCTTCTGTTAATCAGAAGAATGAACATTACAACTATCAGCCCCAGATCACGTGAACAGAAGTCATCCCCAGCAATTATCGGAGAGATCGCCAGTGGCAAAACAAATTTTAAAAGTCTACATTTACCTCCTCTCAACACCCATACACCATTTGTGGCTTGTGCATCCCTGCTTCCACACCTTCACCATGCGGGTAAAAGCCTGGACGCAAGGTTGACGGCTCCCTACCATGGACATCTCCTGGTCAGCACAAACATTTGGCCTGGGCATGAAAAACACATAGTTTATATAACAAAATGGCAAAAACTTGGGGGAAAAAATCTGTTTTTCTGATGACTTTCAGTAAATAGACAGAAAAATACAAATAAAGCACTATGTGTTGGTAGGTGACTGTGTTGAGGGGTAGACAACAGTTATATATACATGTTCTACATGTTCATTTGTTTTAGTATTACACATTATCACCGTCTACTGCTTTTATCACTAGATAAACAACCACATTTTAATTGTTACAATGTAAATCTACAAAATAAAGTGCAAGTGTATTGTTTTGCACTGATGTAAAAAAAAAAAAGCCTCAAATCTTAAACTTTGTAAGCTTCTATTTAAGGAGCCTGCATCTGTTTATGTTGTGAGTGCAGGTAAACTATCCATAGGTGTCCTCCTCCTCAAACCATCTGGCTTCAGTATAGGGCAACCTGAAGTTAATTAGAGGAAATATTCTTCTTCTCTGGTAATGAAAGAATCAATCATGTCCTCCACAGTCTATTTAAATTCAAAACCCTCAAGTACAGTCCAAGGAAAAGCACATTCCTTTGGAAGTTATTATGCAGATGCACATTACATCCGCGCTACAAAAACAGTGGACACGCATGCACGAGGGGACCCGAAAGAGAGACTCCTAGTGGTCATTGAGCAGAAAAACACAGAGTGAAGTAAAGTGAGAATTATAAATGGTGAAATCAAAAGTTCAACAGAGTTTAAACTCAGAATCTCTCTTTTAAAAATCCAATCTAACGCACGCTGCTTCTGTCATATTTAAAAGCATCAAATCTTTCTCATTCACCTGATCATATATTCAAGTGTGTGCTCACAGTGCAAACGGAAAGCAGTGGAAACGATGTTAAACCAAAAAAACCCCAAAACAAACCCAAAACACTTTACTTACATGCCAAGCTGCAGCTCCAAAGATGACGCGATATGCATAGTGCCAAATAATATTACGCACAAAATAAAAATATGTGGGAACATAATTTCAGCCGGTTACAACCACGGTCAGAAGTACTCAATCGGCGCAGGCTCTGTGCCTGTTAAATGAAGAGCATCCTGACATTTATGAAAGTCCTCCTTTAAACATGACTCACGACTTTTGTTTATCCTGCAATGATATCCCTGATATCCCGTTTGCTTGTTACGCAGAGGGGCAACTGTCTCATGTCAAAGGCTGCCTTTGAATGGCTCCGAAGAAAGGCACCACCCACAGTGACTGTGGGGCCATCTCTCCAAACCTCCGGCAACACTGACATGTGCACTCATTAGTAATACAGCCAGCTTTGCTTATAAGACAAAATATGTAGTTTCATCAAAAGGCTATATCGACAAATGCTCCTAAATTATTCTGATTTTTTTAAATGATTCGATGTGCATATAAAATAAAAATAAACTACTTTCAACAGTTTTATATATATTAAGCTTTACTGAATACAATAAAGCAGATCAATAAACATTCAGTGCAGATAAATTATGTTATTGCGTTTCGTAAAGTCATGACAGCTGAGATGGCTCCAGCGCCCCCCGAGACCCTGAAAAGGATAAGCGGAAGCGAATGGATGGACGGATTCTTTGCCAAATTAAATAAGCCACAATAAAAAAAAAAAAAGATAAAACACCTACTATGGTGACTTAAAGTCATTTCTGAAAGCATGTAGAATATTTAAATACAGGCTATTTAATGGTAAGCTACAATAAACTAACAAGTTAGACAAATTATATTGTTTTAGGCTGTACTGTTTGCACATATGTCCAGTTTTTTCTCTGCTTTTAATTTCAGCGCTTGGTACTAATGACATAACTTCCCCAGAATTACGCCTCTTCCGGTTTAGCGTGCAGACAGAGGAAGAAGCAGGAAGAGGGGAAGGTCCTCTCTCACAACATAGAGATGCTTAACAGCTAATTCACCTGTAATACCTAAAATACTTGAAACTGAGCTTTACATTTCCGACTTCAGGTTTGTTCCGTCAAAAAATTTCTGAATAAGTTCTTCGACGAAACAGCGGCCCGTGGCAACAGACTAAACGGTAAGAAATATGGCTAACGTGCTAGCTTGAAATGGCGCTAAGCTAAAGTGTTTTCTGTCAATTTCATTTTCGGAAGCTAACCTGTTTGCTGGAATGCAAAGTATTTCCGCAAATGTTTGTGGATAATAGTTTCCGAATGTTGTTACATGGGTAATGTATTAGATATTTCTTATGCTAGTACAGCAACCTGAAGTTAATCATTTCTTGTCATCTTATGAGCATTAAGGGCTTTAAAATAAACACTCTGTAATAAGACCAGCAGTTCTTTAATGTTAAAATCAATGTTGTTTGCTTTGGGGTCAATGTTCGACTTTTGCTTGACTCTGAAAAAATCTGAATACATCATGTGATAACTTATGATAACATCACAAGCCTGTTCCATCTTTAATCCCCTCTCCACTACTCTGTTAAGCACCACCAAGTATCACTGTGTCCCTAGAGGAGATATTCTGGTTTTGTGAGCTAGGGCTAGGTTTAACAGCTGAAGCCACACACTGCATAACAACAGCTATTCAGTGTGTGGCTGAAGCAAAACTATTTTAGCTCAAAGGGTTATTGTATCAGCATGTTCTCTTTCTTTAGGGATTTTTTTTTTGTTTAACTAACAATTAATTCTGTGTTGATGAACAGCCAAATGAACGGAGCAACATTCCCCTCTCCAACGGCTGATATAGCTGAAATTAACCGTATCCACTATGAGCTGGAGTACACCGAGGGTATAAGCCAAAGGATGCGCATCCCAGAGATGCTCAAAGTGGCTCCAACAGCCCTCGAGGACCCTAATTTGGGATCGCAGGAGGTCCCTCACAGTGTTATAATGCAAGTCCCAGAGAGAATTGTGGTTGCTGGTTAGTATACTGTATGTTTTCTGTCCTTTATGTCACACTGTCTGCACATCACTGGTGACTCACCATTATGGTAGTTCCTCACAGTCTTTTGCAGATTATAGAACTCCTTCTATCAGTGCCACAGGACTTTGCTCCTAGATGCCGTTTCACTGCCAGGATCACATCAACTATTTCACTTTTAACGTAACAATTACAAACCATCTTGCGATGTGATCACACTAGCCGCAATATCTTTGATATCTTAAGACATACCCAGCTCTAGAAATGGTCTCCGTTGACACAGCCATACATGAGGAGTTATGAACATTTAATAAAGAAAGAGAATGAAAAGGGGTGTAAAGTGGGACACAGGAACTACTACAGCACGTGTCTCTGTGTTTCGCTTCACCACAGAGAACCACATGAACATGAACCTTTTACGTAATGTGACATCAGTACCACTGCTCACATTATTTCCACTGAGTTGCACTACACATGAGCAGTTTGCCCCCTGCATTGAGTAAAGCACAGTTCATGCACACCATTCAGGAAGCGCTGGTGTGCTGTGGTCAAAGTTCAGCATTGTTGAACTATGACCACAGCACAGTGATGTGCATTCACACAAGGAAAACAAAGCTTGACATTCAAAAGCAAAAGAAAAAAAATGAGTGCAAAAGCCACTGCAACACAAATTTTAAGCTCAACTTAGCTGTTACTTACTGCTTTTTATGTGAAGGGGCTGACATGCATACAGGTAGCATGGCAGAGGGGATATTTGTTTTTTCCCACTATAGGTGTGAACTAATTGATTAGAATTCATTCAATTTTGTATTAAAAGCACAGCATACTGTTAAAGTGTTAGAAGTGATAGGTTAGTCTCACAGTACATTTCATTTGTCAGGAGGCAGTGATGACTCCCAGTTCCCCAGACCCAGAGACTTGGACCTCATCCAGTCAACACCACTGGAAATGCTATCACTTAAAACTCCACCCAGAGTCCTCACCCTCAATGAGCGACCCCTGGACTTCATGGAAGACGATCAGCGGGTGGCTCCAGACAGTGAGGAAGTGGTAAGTGATAAATCAGTAATTTTTTTTATTACAGAGAACACTATGTACAATTCACCCAGTGTTTAAGATAATGTCCTTAGTGTAACTCATAACCAGAAAATCAGTTGTCAATGCTATTCCTTGTAGTTGCGGCCCCAGGGACGTTTACGGAGGGAGCGTTCAGCCAGTGAGAATGCGGCTGTCCGTCAGAACACTCAGCTGATGCGCAACGATTCAGCGTGAGTATGGGTCCATTAACTGGGTACCCGCTATTACGTCTTTGTGCATGTAAAGCATGCAGCATCGTTCTTTTGGTTTCATTCTTGTATTGTAAGCCACTGTGTCAGGAGCTTTTGCTGCTGGCAGTGTTGATTCAGAAACTTTTTGCTACTTTTTAATACATTAACAACATGTTTTTATTGGTAGATTATTTCCAAATTGTGAAATCTTTAAAGATTAATTGATTAGTTTAAATAAATTACAAATTTGAACACTGTTATCCCCTCTACGCAGAAGGACCGGAATAGCTGGGGAAGCACTGACAGGAACTAGTGAAGCAGACTGCTTTTAATGCAAAGCAATTCAAATTTGAAGCTTTAGTAGCTTCATGTATTTGTTTGAAGGCCTGGTGTAAACTACAAGTGCTTGGCAACTTTATTATTTTGACAGAAATTTTTAGGCTTAATATTTGAGAAAAATATTACACAGTTCTCGGACAAAAAAAAAAAAAAAAACTTTTCATGTCCTGATCACTTTCTGCAACACAGCACACTGGTACTGTTAACAAGGTTCCTTGTCTGGCCTGAATGGTGAACTAGAAAATAGTCACTTAATCAAACATAAAATCAGCTCCTTTTGCATTCCTGTTTCTTGCCAGATGTGTTAGAACATGGTGTGGTTGGCAGGTTCAGTCTTTGGCTGCTGCTTTTTGCCTATTCACTTTCACTCTGATATTAGTTTTGCACAGTCAGTGGAGGACAGTTTCCTTTCCTTATTTCTATCCCTTTCCTTCCTCCTTCTCTTGTACTCTCTCTTCTTCCCTTCCCTACTGAATTTGCTGCTCTTAATGGTGGGCACTGAGCAGTGCAACCCCTTCCCCCCCAGCCATTGCTCACCCATGCCCCCCTCTCACCGAGGCTGAAGAACACAACCTCTACAGCGCTAGTGGTGTCTTATCTTTCATCCAGTCCACTACACGTCGGGCCTACCAGCACGTCCTGGAGGTCTTGGATGAGAACCCTCGCAGGTGACCTCCCAATCATCTGGTCTTTTTTTTTTTTTTTTTTTTTTTTTTTTTTTTTGCTTAAAGGTTTTGAAAAAAAAAATTGCCCGAATGGGTATTGGTTTAAAAAGGCCGTAAAAATTGCAACAGCTATTTTCATGATAGATGGCATTAATTGTACTTTCATTTCTGCCCATAAGCACCATTTGTTTTGGATTGGATTGGGAGAGGGTCATGTGGTACAGGTTGTGTAGTCTCAAGAATCTTGTAACCAGTTTTAACCTTTAACAGTATTAATAACACATGTATTAATCCCAGAAAATGTAGAAAAGGTTTCTAAGTTCCTTGCTTGTTGAAGAATAAAAAACTGAAGCTCTGAACCGCCACTTCCACCAGTGGTTGAATCAAGTTGTTTGAGTTGCACTTTGACTAGGGTTTGGCGATATGTAAAAACTTTTACATCGTCAGTCCACTAATCAATGATGGGCGATATGTTCGCGCACGCGCAGACTTTTTGATGGGTGGAGCAATATGATCATGCACGGACTGATTTCCGCGTTTACATCATAGAAGTCCAAACATGGACGAACTAATTTCCAAAAAAATTAGGGCTGTCCGAGCAAGCAAAGTACTCAAACACGACTAACTTGCATGAGCATGTACGTGTCCACCATCCGGCTCAGTATGCTAGGCTATCACCAGCTTCTGCAGCTCCATCAACAAGCATTTGGGCACACTCTGAGGAGGGTGCATTTGCTCACAGATGAAAGAGGGTGCTGTTAAAACCGCGCTATTATTTATTTATTCTTTTGTTGACTGCTTCTATTAGCTCCATCATTATTAGCAAACTTACTCATGGGCGAATAAATACATAAATTGCCCTTGTAAAAACGATCGCCAATGGGCTGTCTATCGTCGATAGTCGATATATTCGTCCAATCGCCCAACCCTAACTTTGACTTCTCAAACACCATAAATGTTTGCTTTGTAAGAAAGGGAATAATTCACACTGAGGAATTTGTTTTATCGTCCTTTGAAACTTCAGAGATGGTGTATTAAAGAGAAAGTGAAGTAGTGCTGACAACTTATTTCACCTTCAGGTTCAACACTTCAGTTACTCCA